TGCGTTCTCAAAATTTGATTATGATTACAACATCCCTTTTCATAATTCAAATTTTGAGAACATTGCAAATAATATAATATTCTCGTGTTCTAAATTTTTTCAAATGTCTAGGGCATTAAGAGGGAAAAAGGACTAGAACCGGTTATGACTAAAGTTGTTGAGTAATTTTTAAGGACAATCTAAGGTTCACCAAATATTGATCGCTTAAGGAAAGTTGGAACTATGGTAATGGAAGGATCATATTGACATTATTATGAATAGATAGGAGTCTATTAATAATGAATTGTCGTATGAAAAATATGGAATGTTTCCATATTAGGGGGTTGAAGAATAGATGAGAAATTCAGAAACTTTTATGCAAGAAGGATGTTCAAAGGAATATACTTTGAATTCGAGACTTCATTTCCATGGAATTGTCTTGTAACAATCTCCAAAGGAATATTTTGTAATATCATTAGTCAAGTCTTTGTGACTTTTGGTACCTAGACATTACAAAAGGATCATTGCATGATAGTTTAGAATCTAACACTACATAGTAGTGACAAGAATTTTGAATTCTTACACTTGCAACAAGGATTTGGAATTGTGAAATGAGCTTTATTGAAATGTTTTTCAATTGATCTATTTCACAAAGTAAGGATCATAGACAAACATAGTGTGTATTCTTGGAGCATGGCATAACTATTGTTTAGACAAACATTGTGTGCATGCTTGGAGCATGGCATAACTATTGTTTTAATTTAATTATTAAGTTGATTATTCGAAACATTATACAATGAATAATGAGTAATAAATATGGGACTCAAACGTTTTGGGGCCATATAGGATTAGTATTATTCTTGTGTTTCACTTTGCATGTTTTGACTTCCCGAATGACTAGGTTATTCAAACCATCCACGGTCGATCATACTTTGGAAGTAGGTATTAAGGCAAGGTTGTCATGAATGGGTCTATAGTTTGTCTGGGACCAAGTGGTTGCAGTGTTCATGAGTACTCTTGGAATAAGATTCTAGTATTGGATTCAACTCACGCTTATTTGAATCACTTCATGGATTTTATCACGAGTGATCATGAGACGATAATATCATACATTCTTGAAACGGAGACGTGTGAGTTGTAGTTGTGAGTCGGTTGTACATTGACATATGTAAACGCACCAGTAACTTGGATGTTATAAAAACATATCGTGGTGTGTAATTTGATGAGTAAGTACAAGCGAGCATTTGGGTCGAAGTTTATCCATTCCTTTTACCCATTGAGGGATAAAAGCGATATTTGTGGGCCCCTCGATGATTTAATGAATACACCCCTAAGTGCTTGGCCAAGCCTGTACTGATTTGATTTGTTCAATTAGTCAGTCGTCAGACATCAGAAATCGGGAAACAACAGATGGACAGAGAGAATGATTATAATCAATGTCTCAGTCCATATGATATCTAGAATGGAGGAATATATGATCCCTTATCTAATGGACATGTCATTCGACTAGGTCAGAATTCGACAGCGGCTTTAATAGCTACGATTTCTAGTCAGGATCTTGGAGTCATACTTGAATAATAGTTTCAGATTTATCCAAGTAGGAGATTATTGGATTAGATGTCTAAGGCCATAACTATTATTGGTATGTACTCGACCCGAGAGTAGCATGGTCCATTTGGGTTGCATGGCATTGGAACAATTAGATAGACAAATCAGAAAAGGTTATTTATGATTTATATTAATATATTATAAGTTCTAATATACTAATATGAAATAATATTATTTAATTAGTATTGATCAAGAATTAATTTGGAATTAATTTTGTGATCAAAAGAGACTAATTAAATATATGGGGATTGATTATGTAAATCATTCATTCTTATATATGTGGGCTTGTGATCCATAGTCCTTCATGTTGGGTTTAACCCATATGGTAACACATGGATATTCCATGGAGGTTAAAACCCATGGATGATGAGGAATGTGGGTATGAGTTACATGGTGTAACCCTAAATGAGCCACACTATATAAAGGACCCCATGGTTCATGAAGTTGGACTAAGGCATGACTACTGGAGACATAAAGAGGGCATAGTCAATTTCATAGAGTGAACCAAGTAACCTCTTCTCAAATTATTCCAATTGTTGGTGGTGTTGTGTGATTCCATTTGAAGTGCAACACTTGGGGCACTAAGCTCTTAAAGGTTCAAGACTTCAACCTCCATCAAAAGGTATATCATCTAACTAGACTTTTGTAGTATAGATACTCCATTGTATGCTAGTTAGGATGATGCTTTGGATGTTTGAATTTATGCATGTATAATAGAGAAAACATAGATCCAAAGCACATAGGGTTGCATGTACACCATAGGAGTGTTAGAATGATTAAAACCCAACAAAAGGAACAAATCAAGTGCCAAAGGAACGGATCATACAGATAGGGTGGTTGGAGCACCTGGAAGAGGTTTAGAGCACTTGGAAGTGATATGGAGCAACAAGGGGACCTTGTTGCGCCATCTGTTGAAGAGTTAGGCCAAGAGGATGTTGTTGCGCCAAGGGAGTTCCTTCTTGCTCCATGAGGAGTAACACTTGCACCATGTGATACTCTTGTTGCACCATGCAATATGCTTTTGCATGAAGCATGGCCCTATTGCACCATGCATGTTATTGTTGCACCAAGAAGGTGATGTTGCTCCAACCTAGAAGTTTTTGAATGTTATTTTCCTTCTGGATTAAGATTCGATGTCGGGCTGTGCCCGATGAATATTTATATGCTTGATGTCTTCGTGATTCTTGCATGTGTCTGTATTTGTATGTTTCCAGACTAAGGTCTGATGTCGGGCGGTACCCGATGAATATGTATGTGCTTTCCGGACTACGATCTGATGTCAGGTGTTTGTGTTGGGATTATTATATGTGTATTGTTGATATGTTATATGCATGTCGAGCTCAGCACGATGTCAGGCGGGGCCCGATGCCGGGAGGGGCCCGATGCTGGACATTGTTCGATGCCAGGCGGGGCCCAATGTCGGATATAATCTGATGTCGGGCGGGGCCCACTGTATGTGAATGTGTATGGTATGTGTTAGTATGGGGAACTCACTAAGCTTCGTGCTTACGATTTACAGTTTTGGTTTCAGGTACTTCTAGTAGAACATTGAAATAATACAATTTTGTGTTATAGAACTTTGGCAACAACAAATATGATGCTATAATGGGAAAAAAATCGAACTCTGCTATAAATTAAATGTTAATTGCCCTTTTTGGCCTTTGTCCTGTGATTAGAAAAATGTAAAATATGAAAAATAATAATAATAAAGGAAGAATTTCATAATATATGAAAAAACAAATTCTAAAACATTCTTTTATTATGGAGAAAATAGATTTGTTGACTGTCACACAAACACATATAGTAACAATAAAAATAACATAAACACAATCATACAAAGTATCCAAGTCATCTACTAGTAACACAATAAGTTTAGTATATTGTCTTTTTTCCCTTTGAGTAAAGAAATGAAATAATAATAAAAATTGTTATAGAAAACCATGATACAATAATAATGTTGTGGAGTTTTCTTAAAGCATGATTTTCGACTGCAAGATACACTCAAACACATTTACTTTTTGTTGTATACATGAATATAAGATGCTATAAACTAGAGTTTTCATTTTATTTCTAGAAATAAAAAGCAATATACCTAATGTATTGAACAAGTGCATACCGAAAAGAAAAATACGTTAAAACAAAATGAAATTTTAAGGAGAAAATAATTTTTATTTGGGGTTTGGCTTTTATAACTGATAAATAAATTAAAAGGAAGTATATCTGGTATAAGATTAATATATTTAAAACTAGTTGTGAAACTCATATATTACTTGGGTTAATTTATAAAAAATAAATAAATAAACAAAAGAAAATAATAAACTTTAATTGAAGAATTTTAAAATTAAAAGGTAAATCCATTAATAAAATTGATATCAATTTATTATTACATTTATTGTAATTATTACATTAAAATTTTTATGTTAAATTTAATAAAATTGGAAAACTTATAAAATGACATTTGGAAAAAATTTAATTCAAAATGACATTTGGCAAAATAAATGATAGTGCAATTTGTAATAAATAAATCTTCATTTATTAAAGTAGATAAATACAGTTTTTAAAGGTATATATATATATATATATATATATATATATATATATATATATATATATATATATATATATATATATATATATATATATATATATATATATATATATGGTATAAGATCAAATTTAAAATAACAATTGTTGATTTTATGGTTTTGAGTGCATGTAATTTAGGATAGAAAATAAAATCTTTCAAATAATCAAAACTGAAATGCTGATATCTAAGAAATGATGGTCTAATGATGCAGTTAGTTAGTTACTAGGCAGGAAAAACATGGAGTAAATAGCTGGGGGAATGACAAATGGCAAGACGTAGGACTTAAAAGAGGTAACGTGTCTATTTAAACACTCTTTTATTAAGAAAGAGATAGAGATTAGGCTATGGGAGTGGTCACACTCACCCCACCGGAAAAGTGCTGCCAAATGTACGCCACGTCAACTTCACACCCAACTCACCACCAACCCATTAGACATAGGAAATGGTCACCACTTCAAAACATTTATTTATTTTTTTAACACTAAATTAAATAAAAAAACATAATTAATAAAAACATAGAAAATAATAATAATAATAATAATAATAATAAAATCTAGGATGAAATTTGTAAATTCTATAAACCAGTTTTGAGGAAGAAAATTAGGGAGGAGGTTTATTCTGCTTTTGACCCAAACTTAAGGGACTATAATTGACAATTTTTGAAAAATGTATCTCTTCCTTATTAAAGGATCTCTTCATTGTCTTCCTCTATTGTTGAATACCTGGGAAAGTTTTTTTTTTCTTTGCGTATTGCCTCCAAACGAATCCAATCAGTTAAAACAGGAAACCAACCAATAGGGAGCCTCGTCTTCGTCCTTCTTCCGCCTCACGCCACACGCAGCCTACCAGACTTGGGGGCGGTGTTCACGCGTGGGGGAGGCTGCCACCTCAGCCCAAGACGCGTGAAAACGCTCCCATACCGGGTAACCTTACCTTATGTAGATAGATATATTATATCATATTGTCATATAATATATTATGTTGAAAATTATTGAGAAAATAATGACAACATAACATGTCTAACAAAGGCTTTCATATGTGCATGTTTGTGTATGCTTTTGATCATCTTGGAAAACCAAATGTTCTCGTTATTCTAACATGAATATAATCTATGTATTCATGTGGCCAAAACTTAAATTATTGTAGTTTTGAAGTTTTTCTTTTTTGTTAAACTATTGGACTTTTTTTTATTATTTAACTTTTGGAATTTAGGTTTTTTTTCTAAAAAATCATTATATAAAATTATGTACTCCATAGAGATAATTATAGTTTGAACTTTGAAATTTATTTGGAGGAACCGTTAACCATCTTAAAATTGTTTTGATTCTAAAAACACAACTTCAACAAAAGAAAATATTTTCACTTTAAATACACGTTAAGGGCCATTTCAGACCAATAACTTATTCAATAACTCAAAATATCTTGACACTTACAGAATAACTTTAGAAAATAAAAAGAATTTTTAACAGATATCTCAAAAAAAATAGTTTTTTTAATGGCCCAGAAAAAAAATCACGATTGTTTGTTTGGTTGACCAGTTAAAACATGAAACACTTTTTGTCAGGGGGGTTATATTTCTAAAGCAACAATTTTCTATGCAAAAAGCAGTTTATCCACGAGTAATTGTTCTAACTAAAACTTAAAACACAAAATATTGCATGGAAAATAAATAAATATTGAAGCAAATACCATAAAGAAATCCAAAATCTGGTGGGTAGATAAAGCAAATAGCCATAAATGCCATCATCAGTCATCAAAACATAACGAGAGGATATGAATTTTTTTCATACCAACAACAAACGTACTAAAGACCATGATATTAGAAACTACCCTCGTCACTCATCAACAAAATCTGCATCCCTCGCTCTCAATTACTAATTAGATCAGTATTCTCTATCTTAAAGTTCTTGCAAACACAGAACAACTACAACACAGAACTCGTACATTTATGAAGACTCTTACTTGCAGACACATCCAATCTATCCTTTGCATACTGCTGTTAAATATCAAAACACACAAAAATTAAGATATAATTCTATCTCAATTAAAAATAACAAAACTAACCTTCTTTATTGTAGCTTCCTCTTCATCATCATGAGAGGAATCCTTATTATCCTGAAAAACAATACACTCACATGTTTATCCTACATGAAACTACAACGAAAGCATGTATGTATAATGTATGCATGTACCTCATCATCATCAGAACTTGTATCATCATCAGAACTTGTATCATCATAAGGAATTGTATCATCAGGGAACGTGATGATATAACAGACACACAGGCAAATTGGTCAAGGAGTCAACATCACAAACAAAACTTCAATATTAAAACAATATAAACTTAAAAAGCCTAAGTTAATAAAAACAGTATGAGAAAAGGATATACAGATATATCGGTTCCGGATCCATAGAAGTTGACACTTCCATGTTTCCAGTTGTGTGAGATCTCGAAGTTATCAGCAAAAAGCAAGTCAAATCGTTGTTGTGGCAGCCTCTTGGGGTGAAGGGTTCCCAGGACATGTTTTTTTCCATTAATAGTGATGTATAGATAAAGAGACTTATTTTTTTCCTTCTCAATCTCTCCAATAGACGCCTGAGTACAAATAATTGCAGTTAGTTGTATTGTTAACGCAGCAAAAAAAAAGCATATCAAACTGTTCCAAAAGTAATACCTGTGAAATTCGACAATAAAACTTGCCTTTAATGTTTACCTTAAATGATTCACCACTTTTAACCTCAACAGCTAAACCAAAACAACATGAGTTCGTAAAAAATAAATAAAAGTATACAAGTTAAAAAAGGTAACACACATAATGTGAAACAAAACAGAATATTAGTTTTAAGAACAATCTATATGAATACAACCAACCATTTTTCAGATTGTATTTTTATAATGCAGCTAGCAAAAGGCGTTCATTTCAAACATAGCAAAAGCATTGCTGCAAAGACACTCCTGAATGTAATCTTATAACTCCAATTTGTTGCCTAATTTGAAAGAAGGCAGGCTTTAGTAACATGTAGATACATAAATACACAAACAGAAAAACATCCCGTTCATATACATGTAGCACATAGGCTACCTAAAAACAAAGTACGTTCTAAGCTGGATTTTAGTTGGTCTTCCATACCAACATGGAAAAGATATAACACAACTTTAAATCAAGACCAACACTTGCACTTCCTCTTTCCTAACAACAGAAGGTTGAAACACATACCCAAACAACCATAAAAGCCCAAAGCACCACATACATAAAGCTACATACATTCCAATAAATTTCCACGACAATAAACCGGCACAGATAGTAAAACTGAAAATAACATATATATGAATCAAAACATAAACAAACAACGCATGTGAACGAAACAACGACTCGAGAACAAAAGAAAACGATGAATATCATCAAGATAAGTGAAGATTTACGTTACGGGCATCATTATCAAAGCCAAAAGAAATCCAAAATTTTCATTGAAAAAAAAAAACCCTAACGACAAAGGAAAAGGAAGACAGAAACAGAGCGTGTGTAGATATTGGAAAAGAAATGGAGACAGTTGGTTCGTTACCCCAAGATTCCATTGTTGTAGAGGAAGCGAGAGATTCGTCAAGAGAAAGAAAGGGGGCGGCAAGAGAACGGTGTGTGAGCGGAGAGAACGTGTTGGGGTTTGGACTTTGGAGGAAACTAATGTTCTGTCAACTACTTTTTTTTTTTTTTTTTTGACGAAACTGTAAATTTGGTCCTATGGTATGTCAAAAATTGAAACTTCGATCCAAAAAAATTTGGAGTTGCACCACTAGTCCAAAATAAGAATTCTATTGCATGTTTAGTCCAAAATTGTTTGAAAATATTTCAAATGACGGATTTGCCCTTTTAATTTTATTTTTTTAATTTTCTTTTATTTCCAACAATTAAAAAAAATTCTAAATTAAAATACTCTCTCTCTTCTTTCTCTCCCTCTCTCTCTCAACAAAAAAAAACATCTTAAAAATCTCTCTCTCTCTCTCTCTCTCTCTCTCTCTCTCTCTCTCTCTCTCTCTCTCTCTCTCTCTCTCTCTCTCTCTCTCTCTCTCTCTCTCTCTAAAGATGATGTCTTGAATTACTAGTTTGATATGCCTAGTTCTTGATTTGATTCCATATTTCAAATTTTGGATCTTTTGAAAAAAAGGAATACATTATGTGTTCCTAATTTCCAGAAATGGGTTCTTGTATATACTATATCTTGCAATACATGTGACATCTCCAAAATCACGGACAGAAAAAACCGGTTTTGTTTATACTTTATTTCAAAATCAGAGTAATCTTTTAATAAAAGAGTTGCGGAATTTGTCCCAAAACAATATTATGATACAGATCTATCAAAAGCATTTTCATAGAAATGTATTTCATTAAAACGACTCGGGATGTCATGTTCGATACAGTACGTAAGTATAAACAATACAACATAGGCCTTACTACATTATTCCGTATTTACAAGCCTAAAATCCATTAATCTCTTATCCCAAGACATCACATCTATGCTTATGCACCACTACCTGTAATACAAGAAACTGAGTGGGTCAGGCTTGGGAGTCTGGTGAGCACATAGGGTTTTCAACCCACAATAAATAAGTTTATTAACTTTATCAAACCAAATAAACCCGATTACTCATTCCCGTTATCCTCAGTTTACGTCCCTAAGACATCTAACACAAGGGACATAGTCTAAGGACTATCATCGGGATGGACACTACTGCTACGGGGATTCCTCAGCTGTAAATGTCCTTAAGGAAACCATGTGGGGGATGGAGTACATCTGGTGAGCATACAGTTCAAATAAACACATAGTTCGAATAAACACCTACAGGTTGCGAGCCTGCTAGTGTTCTACTGGACTGTCTAGAATAGTCCGTGGTCGTCATCTATACACCGCTAGATGACTAGATCATCATTAACATCTATAACGAGCCCTCTCATTATTTTATTTTGTCACACAGCAACTATTACATCTACCCATGTTTTACCCAACACATTTTGTAGATATAAAATACATATACAATTTAAATCATTGAAAACATGTATAAAACGTTCATCCAGCATAGATAGCAAGTATTCAGATAATATGCACACATAGCAGGTAATTTATATGAAATACTTCATATCTATGTGTAAGCTGAAAGTAACTATGCATTCACCTGAGAAGGTGGTGACTCGGTACTCGGACAGCGCTTTGTTTTCTTTAAAATAATTTCCTTTGATGAAACCTAGTATTATCACCACTAGATTTTAGTATAATATTACCGTTACTAATTATTAGTCTTATTATTATTATCATTATATAAGCGTTTAAACAATACTTTCCAACCACTATGTACAGATAGGGGCCAGACATAAAACACCGGAGGGCAGGACCATTTTGGCGTATAGCACTTCCGAAATCCAACAACCCTATGCGGCCCTTTAAACCAGATTCCCCGTACCGCGAGTAGTTAAAAAAATATTAAAACGACACTTATATAAGTCATAATAATAGCTCAAATATTTATTATAAATTTATAATAACAATACTAATTTTAAATATAAACTTTATTTAAAATAGGGTAAGCATAACTTACTTAGAATGTGATTTTAGCTAGGAGTCGGGCTCTGCAGGGGCAGAACTTCGTCGCTGAATCTTTCTAAGAAAGATTCGTGCAGCGCTTCAGCGCTCACCTTACTATACTAAAACTACAGAATGAGATGTCGAATCACGAGGAACCGAAATGCTCGGGGGATAAGGAGAGAAAGACTCTTGAATCAAGAGAATGGTGCAAGAAATATGAGAGCTCAAGCCTCTTATTTATAGTAATTGAATTTACAAAAACTACCCTCTATAATTACTTAATGACCTCATAGTTATATAAACAACTAAACACCCCTTCATAATACTATTTTAAATAGATTTAATGATATTTGCACTAAACTAATGTCGAAAGAACTCAACATTAATCTTATAATGACCGCATCGTCGATACCTTTCTAATGATATATACATATGTATATATATGTGTATGTATATATGATTTATACTTTATTTTAATACGTAAATATGCTATTATAATTTGTAACTCGTTCATACGAACTCCGTTTTGACATTATTTATATCCACACGTAGGTGGAGACGTACTTTACAACTTTTGTTTAGACTCCGTCGGCTAATTTTGACTTTATTTTTAAAGTTATATTTTTAACAGGCCGGGACAGGATTGGTCGTTAAAATCTCATAACTTCTTTATCCGATGTCCATTTTCGTCAGTCTTTTTATCGTTACGCAACTAATAACGAGATATTCGATTCTTGTTTAGGTTGTGTCGGCTAAAAACCACTCGATCTAATACTCGAACTTCGAGTTGTACACCGCTAAGCCAAAACTTCGAAAAATCATAACTTCCTCATAAGAATTCAGATTTGGGCGTTCTTTTTATGGACGCTTTCAGATTAACATATTCTACGACTTTCATTTAGATTACTAAGGCTAAAAGAAGCCTTGTCATAAATTCACTATTTACGTCTCCCGGTGTCGTGTCGGTTTTGCCGTAAAACTTCGACGGGCCATAACTTATTCGTTATAACTCGGATTTCGACGCTCTTTATATGTACAGAAACCTTGTAACATATACTAAAAATTGGTTGAGATTATTTACTCTTAATAATCTTTTGTCGAAAAGTCGTTTTCGACCCCTATTGCCTCTAAATTGATTAGCCCGGATCTACGAGCGTTACAATTGTCTCCCCCTTAGGATGATTATGTCCCGGAATCATCAACGAAACAGGATTGTATAATGACTCCATACGTTATCTCTTCATCCTAGGTAATAACTGTAACTTCTATGTCGCTTCGAACGAGTATCAAATTCTTGGACTCCTTGACTGCAGGCGATGCTCGGTCTTGCACCTGCTCGTTGGACTTTCAATCATGACCTTCATGTCACAACCTCATTCTTTATCAGAGAATCCTTCTTCTTCTTAACAAACTTAGGATAAGTTAATTTGATTACTACAATTGACCGATGTGTCATATTCTAATGACCTATCATCGTATGTAGCAATGCTTAGACTCAGGTATCTTAGAATCAAATTCCGGAATGGAATATGCTTCATCGTCTAATGTGATATAATCACATTTTAACATGTAGCATTTATAGCTACCAACTTCTTTAACAACGAGCGTGATACTTCTATTGATCGCTTTGATTTCAATCGTTTGGTTTAAGTCGGACGCTACATCAAACTTGGTTCTCTGAACCACATAACCTACTCATCGTAGTCGGACTCAATGTGATATGACCACTAGGGTCGGGATAACAATAATCTTCTTAGTCATTACCAAAACAATGGTAATGAAATACTTGAATAAAACAAAATCAATTACTAGTTTCTTGGTAACCTTGTGACTTTCCCTTATCCAAGTGTGAGTCATGTGCTTCCGGTAGTATAGGCCTCTACTACCTTTCACACCTACTCATACTCGTCCCAAGTATTGTCCCACAGTTTTCCAAGTCACCATATAAGAAAATCACATAGAAACTTAACACATAAAATATCAAAATGAAGGTTTTATATTATTCCTTGAAACGATTAAATGGGTGTTCAAGTTCACCCTAGATTATGCCTCTAATAGGCTACACCATATGACACTATCTACATGTCTTTTTCATAACTTGATCTCCATGTATCCATCCTCACTCCTGATTCCTTGCATCGTCAGCTGCTTCGTCTAGGATCATATGGAATGCTCTTGCCTTTGGTTTTGGCGGAATGTTTGGTCTTGCTGCCTCTTTCTTTTTCGGGCAATCCTTAGCAACATACCCTTCTTCACGACATTCATAACATACCCTTTTGCTGGCGGTGCACTCGTTGGCGTAATGTCCGGTCTTCTCGCACTTGTAGCAAGTCACTTCTTCGCTACATTTCCCGAAGTGATTCTTCTTACACTTCTCGCACCATTTCACTTTGTTTCCACCTCCGTTAAACTCTTTTGAACTAGACTTGATCTTCTTATTGGGCCTCGTAGACCCCTCAAACTTCCTCTTTTCGCCAACCTCAATCTTGTTGGCAGCTCTTCCCTTAATCATATCTTCCATAGACTTGGCAGCCCAGATAGCTACCTCCATAGTAGGTGCCTGACGCACCGGCACTGCGTACTCCCATGGAAGTCCCTTTGCGTACTTGTTGATTTTCGTCAGCTCATCCGGAACAAGGCGCAAGGCGAAATCCATCTTCTCTGTGAAGTTGTTGGTGTATTCATCAATTGACATGCTTCCTTTCTTCAAGGTCAGGAACTGGTTCTCTAGCTCGAGTAAGTTTTGAGCTGAGCAGTACTTTTGTTTAAATTGCACCAAAAACTCTGCCCATGCTAGTTGAAGGGGTTCATTGGGGCTCAAAGTCTTCCCTAGGGAATTCCACCAGCGAACAGCGCCTCCTCTGAATTGACGTACTGCAAATGTGGTTTGTAGCTTGCCTTTGCAACCACAGGTCATGAAGGCCAATTCCATCTCTGAGATCCAATCCATGACCCCGATCGAATCTTCCTTCCCAGTGAAAGTCGATGGCTTGCAAGTTAGAAAATCTTTGTACTTGCATCCATTCCTCTCGACTCCTTCATCATGATTGTTCCTCCTAATCACCGGGGGGATCAGCTTGACCAACGGTCCTGCTGTCGTTCCCTTCCTCAGATTGCCCGTCATTCAGCTCGGACTGTTC